AAACACACTTTGCCTGTTTATTTGGTGAGATACACAAGCCCCAGGGTCTTCATCCTACTTTTTATAAAAGGCTGTTTCAATTGGTCTTAAATGTCCTTATGTCACAACAATGTACCTGCCAACATTCCTCTGCAACGTGATCACTATATTTTTGAGCATACTTACAACAGTGCATAACTGAAATTTTCCTGGGATCTTGCATGAATGGAACGCTACACTATATACACAATAGCCCATGTTGAAAAGGCAGCTTTGAGATGCGGCACCTCAACCTTGCCTCCTATTATTGGTAGTACTTTCTGGAAAAGGAGGAGGCTCAGCCCATCAATTTCTAACCGGTCCGTTTTTGTTTTTTTCTCACTCGGTAACACACGACCTGCCAAAACCAGGATGAAGGTCCTTTTTCAGTGCTGCCACCCCGCAAATGACGGAGCCCAGACAGACAAGGACCAGCACAAGAGAGATGGCAGCTGTCGGGAAATAAAAATGATAGATTCCCATTTCCTGTACATTCAAGGAGCAGTCCATTAACAAACCACAGGAAAGAATGTGGGCTGCACTCCAGTGCGGAAGGTCAAGCATTTTCACATGCTAACCTGTTGAATTCTACCTTTCACATGAAAATCAGGTGATACACTGGGGTGTCTGGCTGGGGTGGCAGGGGCCGGGGGTAGGAGGGGGAAAGGGAGGTTTTGTCCTACATTTCTTTGGAAATGAGGAAGAGAAATAAATATCCTGCAGGGAACCTAACAATGAAAGGCACAGGCTGCTCTTGGCTCAACGTTTGCACCTTCCCTTCAGAATCAGAGTTTTAAGAGGCTCAACATGCATAGCAACAGGATGGAGACGGGGATTCACAAATAAACACTTTTTCAATAAAATTTAACCATTATTCATCTCCTTTCTCCTTTCTTTTCTGACCGAAAGTATATTTTTGTCCCTTATGACTCCTAACACCCAAGGCTCAGCATCCCTTTAAGGCCTGGGGCCGGCTGGGCTGCCATTCAGGAGCCCTGAAGGGTAAACATATGAGAGGGGATGGGTGTGTTCCTTCACCAGATGCCGGCCAACTTTCACAGTATGCACCAGGGTGCAAACTCTAAACATCTTACAGCTTTATGTGCCAATCACACCTCAATGAAGCTGAAAAGACCAAGATCAGTGTGTGCCAAGGGTTAGGGAGGCGGGGCAAAGAGAAGTTTCAGGGCAAAAAAATCCCGTATACGATACTGTAACATGTATGATACATGTCACTGTACACTTGTCCAAACCCACAGAATGCACACCACCGAGGGAACTCCAACATACACTGTGGACTCGATGATTACTTGTCAACAGTGTCAACTGTGCCCTCTGTTGGGTGAGGGTGGTGGGGAGGCTGTGCATGTGTAGAGGCAAAGGGCGTATGGGATCTCTCTGTGCCTTTGGCTCCATTTTGTTATGAACCTAAATGGCTCTACAAGATAAAACCTATCTTTAAAATTGCTACCTAGACTAAAAAAACAACTTCTAAAGGAGGCTGATTTCCGTCCAAGAAGCTCTATTTCCCCTCTCTGTCCAGTCAACTGGTGGGGACCAAATCAACTCGCTGCCATTAGACTGAATGGGACAAGGGATGACGTGTTTTATCAGCATTTCGTTAACAAACATGTTTAATACCATCACCACCGGCAGCAAAGCCATTCCCGAAAGGCCTACTGAGATGTGTACTGACCGCAGGGAGCTAGGTGTTATATCACACACAAGCATCACACATGGGCCAGAAGTTTCCCTTTGGAGTGTTGAAAAATGTTCTAAAATTAGACTATGTTGTCAGTTGCAAGTATCTTCATAGTCTCTCAAGGGTCCAGTTTTATGGTGTGAAAGTCTACCTCCATGGAGCTTTAAGAAACGTACCCTTAAGAAGGTCAGCATTTTTTAGAGCAACACAGCCAGCTTGCTGCTGGATAAATTTTCATCTCATCTCAAATGCAAATCTTGGAACATCAGCTCCAAAGGGCAAAAGTATGGAAATGACTTGTAGCTCTATCTGATAACCAGCCCCTTGGGGTCTCCCTGGGGGCGTCCCCCTGGAGGCTGAGGTGCAGGAACAGAGGCTGCACTTCATTCCCTTCAGGACAGGTACCCTCTCCCCAGGGCAATGTCTGTCCAGACCTCAGCCATCCACCACAGAGACCAGCCAGGAGGGTAAATCAGTCCCTGTTCTTTGTTCTCTGTCCCTCCCGACTCAGGAATGAACATTTGTAAATGAGCAATGGAAAAGCTTAGAATTCATAAGGAATATCCAATCAAGTAACAGTCCTCAGTGGATTTTTTTTCATAAAGCTCACTGAAAACCGCCGCTGTACGCATCCATGGTCAAAGGCAGGCAGCTGCGTGACCAATAAAGGGAAGGAGTAAACTGGTTAAAGAAGAGCTTGGCATGTCTTTTTAAAAACCACCTACGGTCTAGACCCGTGACCCGAAAGCAGGTGATTACTCTGGTGTGCCTGGGACAGCTCTGGACGATGCCTGGAATTCTGGTCGATGCCTGGCATTCTGGTGAATAGCCCTCCTGCTACCCTCAATCCTTCCCGGATTTGAACAACAAATTACGTTCAGCTCTGAAGGTGAATGGGAGGTGGAACGGGTGTGCTCATCCAGGCAGCATGGCTCCGTGTTGCTCGGTGAGGCCCCCGGGCCAGGGGCCCACCCGTAGAGCCAGCCAGCCATCTACCTGCACCATATGGGCTGACAGAAGTCACAGATCGCTCTACAGTGAACTGCTGCTTACGTTCACTTGGCTGGAGCTGCAAAGCCAGTGCAAGAGCCCCCCAACTCTCCACCCCATCCTCGTCTCCCCGTTTCTCCTGCCTGTTTGGGCCCCAAGTCTAATTCTCAGGCTCAGCCCATGGCTGTGTTGACGTAAGGGCCATCTCCTGTGACAGCTTCCCTCACCGTCTCCTAAATCGCCTGCTTCCACTATATTGTCATCTACTAGTAACTGAGAGCTCCCACTGGGCCTGGCCTGGATGTGTTTTGTTTTCACAGATTTCCTTCGTTTAGAATAGAGACCTACACTCCAAACCCGCCACCCACTGTAGAAGGCCTTAAAAAAAAAAATCCATTTCAAAATAAAACCATTCACAGAGCGAGGCCAACAGCAGTCCAGTCCTCGAGGCATTCCCCTCCAGCATCTAGATGTCTGAGGCCAGGGCGGCTCTGATTACGTGGGGCTGTAAAGAGCTGTTCATTTAGGAATAATAAGCTGTGGGAGAGACGGGGCTGATAGCATTTTTCCAGGACGGTGTGAGTGTCTTGCTGTGGCAGTACAACAAACCCCTGGGAAAACGCTGATAACGCTGGCTCCGGGCCACTGCGGTTTCTCCTGCAAATGGATCTGTAAATCCCAGCTCTCTCCTGCCTATTAAATGCCACGTGGCTGGGGCGAAACAATAGGTTAAAGCCTCTCCCGGCTCAGGGACGTCTACACTGATGCAAAGTGTATATTGAACAACGGTTTCTCTCCCTCCCACTCCCCGCTGTTTCTGTACTGTCCCCTTGTCCTCACCCCACTGGATCTGAAAGAAAGGGACCAATTCAGAAGCCGGGAACATGTCTGTAGTTTGATAGGCTCAGGACTGGAGAGTTTCTAGTTAATATGAAGTTCCTGTGTGATTCTACTTAATATGTAAGAAGCACTGCAAGGTCTGACAATATCTTAGGGGCATATGAGTGAGGCCTGACACTGTTCGTGTGAGCTAAAACAGCATTCGGAATATAATGCTTTAGATACTCGTTTCTTTGAGTGCTCCTGTTTCCCAGGAAAGAGGGGACGGAGATGTTCTGTCTAATGAGTCCAAGGAGCGTGCCAGGCCCCTTCTCCCTCCGTAGAGCGCCCCACAGACAGGAAAGCTGATACCCCAGGGACACAGCTCTCCCCAACACAGCCTTACAGCAAGCTTCTCCAGGGAAGATGACCATCCTCAAATGTGAACTTCCCAACCTTCCTGTAAAAAGCTTATATATGAAAAAAAAAAAAAAAATCTATGTGGTCAACTAGGAGGAAAAATGCAGGTTTCCGGCATGAATGTTTTGCTGAAATGACAGCACCCAAGATACCAGATCTGCTCAGGAAGACAAGTTTTATGGTAAGAATGCATTTCATCTTATAATAGTTAAAAAATGAAGCCACTTTTCAATACCATCGGAAAAAAAAAAAAGGATGAATTTTATCTACACATTGCATCCAAAAGTTAATTCAGCCCTAGCCAGTTTGGCTCAGTGGATAGAGTCGGCCTGCAGACCAAAGGGTTCGATTCTGGTCAAGGGTATGTACCTCAGTTTGATTGCAGGCTCCTCCCGGGCCCAGGCCCTGGTCAGGAGGCAACCAATGGATGTGTCTCTCTCACACCGATATTTCTCTCTCTGTCTTTCCCTCTCTCTCCCACTCTCTCTAAAAATCAATGAAAAAAACACAGGTGCATTCTCTGTCTTTAAGTCCCTTTGGGGGAAGATGAGAGCAGACAATACAGCCTCTGACTACCAAGGACTGACACAGAACCAAAGGCCGAGAGGAAAAGTAACTCGCTGCGGCTTTTCCGCAAGCTTTTCTTATGTAACGGGCCCTCACTGTTCCTTGAAGCAAGAGCCCACTTACCTCTGCAATGGCAGAATTAAGACCACCCATGAAAACAATGGTTTTTAAAAATTGCATGTAGCTGCAAAAATGAATTATACACTTCTGATGAGGGAACTGAATGGCATATAAATAATATCTCAATAAAGCTATCATTAAAATATTCTGCCTTTTTTTTTTTTTTCAGCAGAAGCTTAAAAATAATCACAAATAAGAAAAAAATAAAAGCACGGCGTTGGCATCACCTAGATAACTAGGTCTGTCCTGGGGCAATACTTTATAAGGTCTGTTGAGATATATACTTGAACTTGGCTTTTTGTGATCACAGCTACGGAGGCAGGATCCGGAGGGAGGGGCAGGGGTTACCACGTTGGGAACTCACTTGGAACAGGGGCTGATCACAGTCGGCGTAGGTGGGTAAACCAAGGCAACATTCACTCGCTCACTGCCGTTCTTGGGGCAAATGATCTCCGCCACTCCTTCGGGTCTGGGCTGGCTCAGCAGCTCCCCTGCAGGAGGAGAGAGAGAAATGCATGAATGAGATCTGCCTTAACAATGGGACCATCTGGCAGAGGAACTGAGCTGGGGATGAAGGAAGCAAGGAGATGGCAGGTAGTGGGGAAGCCCAGGAGTGCCTGAACAAATGTGCAAGGAGGACAGCAGCCTTGGCTCTGCGCCCACCTGCGCTGCCGAAATTCTCATCTGCATCACCACGGGGAACGTGCTGAGGGCTGTGGCAGGAAGGCCATCATTCCAGACAAAGGCAGCATCTGCCACTAGTCCCCTCACCTTCCTTTTCACAGACTGACTCCTGGCATCTTTATCTACACGTCAGACGAACAGAGCCAGGATCCCCAGAGCCCAGAGAAGCTGCCAAGGAGGTAGTTGTGCACCATGAGGACGGGCAGATGGGATGCGGGCGGAGGGAGCAGCCGGTCCACAAAGCCCCACACAGATGACCTGGAAAGGCGGCCACCAGAGGCGTTATCAAGGTGAACAGCCCAGCCTCGCACTGGCATGAGGATTTCCTGGGTAGGTCTGTGTGCTGATTTGAAAAGACCAACATAATACTATCTTGTTAGTAATGGGGTCTAGGAAACACAGATAATAAACATAATGGGTTCCCACAATACTCAAAGGAAACCTGTGTCCCCAGCACACCCGGGATACAATTTCTCTCCAACTGGATCATTAAATCCCAAATCCCTAAGAGCCGATGAAGGTTGCTCCTTAGTCCCTGCCCCCCCCCCCCCCCCCGCCACTCTGCCGGCCCCCCCTCCCCCCCAATCCAGCAGCACTTTCTCGGTTGCCATGGCCAGCACAGCGCTCTCACTCAGTACAACCGCACACTCCTAAGGGCATGGTGACAATATTCTTAGGATTTAAGAAATGTGCCGAATTGCTAAATTAAGAAAATAACAGAAACAGCTTTTTCACCATCACCCCCCCATCCCCAAAACCCATCTTAATCACGAGTGCAAAGAGTGGTTCATAACATGAGCTATCTGCTAAAATAGAAGCTCGTCGTCTCAAGTGTCTTTAACACAAATTTGATTTTAAACCAAAGCGCAGCCACTCCCTGAATATTATATTTACATAGAGAGACGGTGTTGTGTGTGAGAAGCTGCAGGAGACGCAGGAGATAAGGAGTCTAAGGCAGGGTCTCTCGTGTGGAGGGTCAGTCCTGCATGACGGGTGCACGCAGCCCAAGCGCCCATCAGCGCTACAAAGGCTGTGGCACATTTACACGATGGACCACTGCTATCGGCTCTAACAAAAGAAGGAGGTCTTACCCTTTGTGACAACACGGATGGACCTGGAGCGCATTATGCTAAGTGAAATAAGCCAGTCAGAGATAGACAAATGTCCTACGATTTCACTCATATGTGGAATTTGATGAACAAAATAAACTGACAAAATAGAAACAGACTCATGGATGAAAAGCAGACTGACAGCTGTCAGAGGGGAGGGGGGTTGTGGGGCTGGGTGGAAGAAGTGAAGGAATTGAGGAAAAGAAGCATGAACACTCATAGAAAAAAACACAAACATGGTGGTGACCAGAGGGGGAGGGACTTTAGGGGAGGGGGAGGGGGAGGAGAGCTAAGAGGAAGTAGAAGAGGGTACAGGGAGGGGAAATGGTGACTGAAGGAGACTAGACCTGGGTTGGTGAATACACAATACAACATACAGATGACGTGTTATAGAACTGTGCACCCGAAACCTATATCACTTTATTATAACCAGTGTTACCCCAATAAATTCAGTAAAAAAAAAAGTAGGCCTTGCTTTCTGACAAAAATTATACAATGATTACTCCTAGCAAGACTATCCACAACAGTGAAAACTTGATAACCCTCTCAGATGTCCAACAACGGGGACATGACAAACTATGACCCGTGAATCAGATAGAATTGTCTTGTGCTCACAAAAAACTCCGAGACTGACACTTCAGTGTGGAAATGTAAACTTGAAAGTACATTCTAATTAGAAACATAAATTGACAAAGCACACACAGGAACTTGGAGCGAAATGGGTCATTCAAGACCAAGAGGCCCTGGGGCTGCCGGCTTGTTTATTTTTACGTGGAGACGAGAACAGAGTCCGCCTCACACTGAAGGGAGAGGCCAGTGCTAAGGGCCAACGCTTTCGCCTCCACGGGAAACTGTCTGGTCATGTGCAACGTACAATGAACGCAATGGAGATGCAGACACTGGGCCTGGTAAACAGACCCCTCCATGTGCTGGAGCTGTGTTAGGCCACTGAACTGTTTCCTTGTGCCCGTTAACGTTATGAAAAACTGTTCTTAATTGCCCTCGCTGAAGATTTCTGGCATTAAAATGTGAGCAAACTCTTATCAACTGTGCTACTCCCTGTGAAAGAGCAGAACACCACATTTTATTACGGTTTTTCAAAGTAAAGTCAACAGAAGATAAAGTAAAATGAGCTCAGATTTTTCCCTCCCTCATCAGAACTCTCCAATATTAGGCACATGATGAAAGTACTAAAAATGTATCACACTGACAACCCAAACCACAATATTAAAAGCCCCAAACCTTGCTTTTTAATGCAAAAAACAAAACAAAACAAAACAAAAACCTACTTCCTGATGCAGGATAATGATGGAGGTTGTGAACATCCCTCCAAACAGCAAAAGGAGTCTTGAAACTAAACAAGTAGAGAGGTACTATTAATCAAGACAGTATCTGGGAATCTTTCAGACCTCTTTTAGCTCCAATGCTGTAAAACTCATACCCTCTAGCCCCAAGGGCCACTCCTGTCTTTTAATTAATTTAATTCATTGAGACTCTGGACATAGCTGGAATGAGGTACACGGATGCATCTTCCATATCTCCTCGGGGCAAAGGCAGCATCCACTGCAACCAGAGCAGGCAGGTTCCCCGCTTGGAGAGCCCAGCATCACCGGGGGCTTCGAGCACTAGAGAGCTCCTTGGTCCCTCAGGAAAGTCAGAGACAAAAGGATACCTTGTCTTTTTAAGACAAAATAAAGCCCATCCCTGACTGGTTTGGCTCAGTGGATAGAGCATCAACCTGCAGACTGAAAGGTCCCAGGTTCGATTCCGATCAAGGGCATGTACCTTGGTTACGGGCACATCCTCAGTAGGGGCTGTGCAGGAGGCAGCTGATCGAAGTTTCTCTCTCATCGATGTTTCTAGATTTCTATCCCTCTCCCTTCCTCTCTGTAAAAAAAAAAAATCAATAAAATAAAAAATTTAAAAATAAAAATAAATAAAGCCCAGAAAGCAAATACAAGAGAGTAGAAATACAAGGGAGTAGTAAATACAGAACGTTAACACGTTCCATTTAAAACCGTGTCACAGCATCTGCTGGTTCCAACGTCGCCAACCGTCTACAGAAGGGGCTGCCCAATGCGCTCCATGGCGGGTCCCAATTCCCGCTCCTCCTGGCACCATCCCGGTGCCTCCCTCCGGACCATGGCTAAATAAATCAAATAAGTAGGCCAGGTTGTACTTTTGCATAGTCTTGGTTTAAAAAAATACTCCACTGTGTGAAGGGACTTTGGTCTCGGCCCTTGATGATGAACGGGATCTTTTTTCGGAAGAGAAAGTGACGGCAAGAAGGAGCAGAGCGAGTCTGTGTAGAGAGCAGAAACAGGTCTAGGCCTTGGTCACCGAGCCCAGGGCTGTGCCCATCTCTGACAGTCAGAAGTAAAAGCTATGCATAATCTGAGCCCTAGCTGGTTTGGCTCAGTGGACAGAGCATCAGCCTGTGGACTGAAGGGTCCCAGATTCGATTCCGGTCAAGGGCCTGGGTTGCGGGCTTGATCCCTATTACAGGACATGCAGCAGGAGGCAGCCAGTCAATGATTCTCTCTCTCATCATTGATGTTTCTATCTCTCTTTCCCTCTTTTCTTCCTCTCTGAAATCAATAAAGATATATTTTAAGAGAAAACAAACTATGCATAATTTGGAAATAACTTGTAAAAATGTTTTTAAAAATATCCAAAAAGTCGCAGGTCATGAAATGCCATGTGAAAGTATTTTCTATCAGACTTAAACTAAAGGTGACGTTTAAAAGAAAAGTTTAAATGCAAATGCATTAAGGTAATACAACTTTGGAAATGTTTTAAGAAATTTTACCATGCCGAGACCGGTTTGGCTCAGTGGATAGAGCATCGGCCTGCGGACTGAAAGGTCCCGGGTTCGAATCCGGTCAGGGGCATGTACCTTGGTTGCGGGCACGTCCCCAGTAGGGGGTGTGCAAGAGGCAGCTGGTCGATGTTTCTCTCTCATCGACGTTTCTAACTCTCTATCCCTCTCAGTTCCTCTCTGTGTAAAATCAATAAAATATATATTTTTTAAAAAAAAGAAAGAAAAAGAAATTTTACCATAACCTTTAAGTAAACAGCAGATATCAATAACTTGGAGCCAGGAAGTACTTCATTGGCAAAAGACATCCTGGTATAAATTAGAGGAGAAATGAAAGGGGAAAATCCTATGTCCCAGGCCTATGCCCCAGGCCTGGCTCTGCCACTGAATTCACTCATTCATGCAACAGCTGCAAACCAGCCCCTGATGAATGTGAGGCAGGCACCACTGCAGAATGAGAGAAGAGCAGGGGAATAGTACACAAAGATCCCTGATTTCATGGAGCTTACAGTCTACAAAGAACACTAGTAAAAAACAATCTGCATAACTGATAAAAACTTATTATCCAGCCGGCCAGTATGGCTCAGTGGCTGAGTGCCAACCTATGAACCAGGAGGTCATGGTTAGATTCCCGGTCAGGGCACATGGCCAGGTTTCAAGTTCCATCGCTAGTAGGGAGTGTGTAGGAAGCAGCCAATCAATGATTCTCTCTCATCATTGATGTTTCTCTCTCTCTCTCCCCTTCCCTTCCTCTCTGAAATCAATTTTTAAAAATGTATTTAAAACAACAAAAAATTGCCGAAACCGGTTTGGCTCAGTGGATAGAGCATCAGCCTGTGGACTGAAGAGTCCCAGGTTCGATTCAGGTCAAGGGCATGTA